AGACAAAAGCTATATGTTCACTGGTCTTTAGCAACCCTGTTAAAACCCATAACCAGACTTCCAGTTTCAGCTTTGACATGTAAAGAGCTGGGCAGTTATTGCTACTGTGCTTATAACCAGAAAAAACTGAACAAACTGAGAATAAATGGCTTTTCTTAGATCCATCAAAGAACTGAGGTCACAGAGCAAACTCCAGACAAAAGGCAATTTCGGAGAGTCAGTCCATCTTTTCTTGCATAGAGCAAAAACTGCTAGAGACTTAAACAGGTAAGAACACTAAATGGTAATTTTGATGAATTGCTGGAGACTAAGTGTGGAATATTGTGTGAGTGAGAAACCCCTGGGGACCTGAAGTCTTGGGGGGGGGGGAATCCCACACTTTCTTAGGCTTTTCCTCCAGGAACCCCACCAGATTCTCCCAGTGAAGATCGCAGAAAGATCCCCTCATGGCTCTGGCAGTGGGAACAACCCAACGGAACTAGCTGTACTATTGTGAAATACCCCCAGATCCTTCTTCATAACAAAGGCCTACTTCACAGTGGAAAAGGCTTTACCAGAACTTTATCCCAGCTGAGGGAAAGGCATTTCTCCTATTCCAACTCCCTCTAGGTTTCCAGTCTCATGTAAGGGAGAGAAAGAAGCTAAAAAAACTTGTGAAGGTCACATCCCAGGGACACAGGCTCGCAAAAGACTGGAATTTAATCACAAGATTATAGAACACTTCCTCTCCTCCACATTTTACCACCATGCTAAAAAAAGCTCCAGTAATAATAACAGTAGATAACATTTAAAAGAGCTACAAGATGCAGACTTTCTGGGCGTACTTAGGAAAGCCAAAAGTAAGAGGGGAGACAAAAACAAGGACACTAGAGGAATTTAGTGTCTACACTACACTTACAGCTATAGCAAACACTAAGCACAGCCCAAATCCTAACCAGCATAACATAAAACTTCTTACACCAAAGATCTATTTACCTCTGTTCCTATTACCCAAATATATAGCTTTCAACACAGAACTACAAGGCATGCTGAAAGGTATGAAAAAGCACAGTCTGAGAATACAAAGCAAGCATCAGAACCAGACTCAGATATAATGCAGATGTGGATTATCAGACAAGAAATTTGAAAAAACTGTGATTAATTTGTTAACAGCTCTATTAAATGATGTAGACAACATTCAAGAACAATGGGTAATGTAAGCATAAATATAGAATCAAAAGGAAATGCTAGAAATCAAAAACACTGAAACAGAAATGAAGAATGCTCTTGATAGACTCATCAGTAGACTACACAGTCGAGGAAAAAATCAGGGAGCTTGAAGATAGATAGGAACTTCAAAACTGAAATGCAAAAAGTAAAAAAAAAAATGAAATGAACAAACAAAAAACCCAGAACACTTAAAAACTGTGGAATGATTTCAAAAGGTATAACATATGTGTAGTTGGAATACCAGAAAAAGAGTGAATTGGAGCAGAAGAAATATTTGAAATACTAATGGCTGAGAATTTTCCAAAATTAATGACAGAATGACAGAGACCAAACCACAGATAGAGGAATTTCAAAAAATACCAAGCAGGAGTAAAAAAAAAAAGAGTCTACACCTAGGCATATCATATTCAAACTACAGAAATAAAATAAAAATATTTAAACAAACAAACAAAACAACAACAACAACAAAACCACCTTACCTACAGAGGAACAAGGATAAGAATTACAGTGGACTATTCATCAGAAACCATGCAAACAAAAAGAGAATAGAGTGAAATAGTTAAATATTGAAAGAAGAAGAAACACCAGTCTAGGCATTTATGACCACTGAAATTATCCTTCAAACATGAAGAAAAAATAATTCTCAGAAAAATAAGAACTGAGATTCATTTCCAGCAGACCTGCCCTGCAAGAAATATTAAAAAGTTCTTAGGGGCCGGCCCGGTGGCGCACTGCTACAGTGTGCCGCTTGGGAGCGTGGCGGCGCTCCCGCTGAGGGTTCGAATCCCACATACAGACCGGCCGCTCACTGGCTGAGCGAGGTGCGGGGCGCAACACTGCAACACCGAGGGTTGTGATCCCGTTGCCAGTCCCGGTCCGGTACGGGCGCAACACTGAGGGTTGCGATCCGTTGCCGGACACGAAAAAAGACAAAAAGGAAAAAAAAAAAGTATCTGTCCCAAAGCAACGCTTTTGGGCCGGCCCGTGGCTCACTCGGGAGAGTGCGGTGCTGATAACACCAAGGCCCCGGGTTCGGATCCCACATAGGGATGGCCGGTTGGCTCACTGGCTGAGCGTGGTACTGACAACACCAAATCAAGGGTTAAGTTCCCCCTTACTGGTCATCTTTAAAAAAAAAAAAAAAAAAAAAAAGTTCTTAGGGAGAAGGAACTTAATATAGGTCAGAAACTTACATCTACATAAAGAAAGGACAAGCAGCAGAGAAAAAATAAATGAAGACATGTTCATCATTCATGTCCATCTCAGTGAATTAACAACCATCCTCACATGTGATGCCCAGGTACAGTTTGACCAAACCAAAAAGAGACAATTATTCACTCTAGTACAGAAACTACTATTTCTATTAATGCGGTCACCAAAAGTATGTGAGGATCTCACCTATAAAATGTGCTGTATTTTTAAGTTTATAATTCTGTTTTTGGACCTTATAAGTGAATTATGACTCCCAGCTTTGGAAAATCTGAACAATATTCATCAGAATTCTCATTTGAATTCCTTAGAAAATACACACACACACACGTCTAAATCAAAACTGGTAAAAAATACACTAACCATATATAAATATATTCTCACTGTAAAACAAACAATATAGAATATATACTGAAAAAAGGAGTGTATCCTTCCTCACTACACATACTCCATCCCTCTAGAGCTAATAACTTAGTTTGCTGTGGACAAATACCGCCCCCCCGACCCCCCCGCACAGGAAGGGATCTTCACAAAGTTCATGGAAAGACTCCTATAATTTAATTCTGTTTTCCACAAACTCTGAAGTACCCTCGTGTGTGTGTGCGCGTATTTACAAGAAACACTTTCCATTAAGGTAATCATATGTATTATTCTCTAATCTGCATTTTCACTCAAGTTCTTATTTGGGGTTATTTTCAATTTTCAGTTTGGCGTGTATATAGAGCTACTTCACACTTTTTAATTTTATACTAGGGTTGAATAGTATTTCATAAAGTAAATGCACCCTACTTAGTTTAATCCTTTCTCTATTGATGGCCATTTAGATTATTTACAATTAATTGCTATTATAAGAAATACTGCATTTAATGAATGTCCTGACCCTTCTTCCCCCACCTCTCCCACTGGCTCCCGTCCCGGAAGGAGGGTGACCAGCCTGGGAGGAGGAGGGGCAGGCACTCAGCGGGGCGGGGCGCAGACGCAC